TATTTCCCCATTGATTAATAATCGTGAAGTTGCGTGACCGACCTGACTTCAGGTGACTCTTAAGAAAAATACGAGATAACTTCATTCAAGTTGTGAGGCCTCTAGGAGATAGTATTATGTAGATCATATAAGCTTCATTACCCAGTGAAAGGTCCCCTGACACGAAGGGTGTTGCGACGTCGCAACATTTTGGGACCCCTAACAGAGGTTCACTTTTGACGTCATTGGTCAACGGCCTGACCTTAACCTTCGCACTTGTAAGAGGGTGTCGAACAGACTCTCAGTTTTTCGCAAATAACTCGCGCAAAAAGCGGCTGTTCGCGACGAAACTTTCAGTACCCTCAAGTTAATCAATATTACGCCTACCCTTAAAATTCTTATGACCCTGACTCAAAAGACCTTTGACTTGTGACCTGTTTTCCGAGACCATGCTTGGCCGGAATCGCGATTTAGCGTATTTCGGCTCACATTATGAGCGCGTTTATTGTCTTTTTGTGGCTTTAAGCGATCAAACATGTGAAAGGATGTTGATCCCATGGATTCTAGTGGGTATCAAGGTCACGTGAAGGTCAGTCAGGTCACTGACCTTTGATGACCTTAGTTCACTGCTTCGAGTTCTACATGTTTTTAGGGTAGATTTTGGAGTTGATTTCGCATTCAGAAACCGTTTGAGCATTTACGAAGTAGTTTTGGTTCCCTCGTAACATGTGACCTGACCCGACCTGGACTAGATGCACGAAAACATCATCTGTGATAAAAGTTAACTTGAAATTCGTGATCAGCACCCCCGCAAAACCTTATAACAGCCTCACTTTAAGAAGCTCTAACAGGTCCCGATTTTCCCGACTTTTGAGTATATATTGACATATCAACAAATGACCTAGGACCTCAAAATTGTGTATCAACGGCCTCCTCTCGTCACGGGCAACACGCTCTTTTTCCGCGAAGCTCTAGCTCGATCAGGGTCTGAACGGCAAAGGGGTCCAACGGACCCCCTCCCCTTTATGCTAGACGCTGGCAAAACACCAATATGAGCGAGGGTTAAAATACAGCGGCTGTCATACAAATTCGGCTGGAATCAAAGGTCAGGTTTGCAAAATTTCAGCTCTCGCAGCAAATAGACATGTGGAGGCGGCACCCGTCTCCCCGCCCCCTCTTCTCCTCTCGGCCACTGCCAGCGAGGTTTTCAACGTATCATACACATTACAAAGCATCATATCAGATGACGCACCCGAGCAGCCATATGCACTGAACAAAAGCTTATAACCCACCCTAGTCTATTGGCACTAGAGATGTCAATCGGATACAAACTTTTTGGTATACCGATGCCAAACCGATACCAACTCGGTATTTGGTATTTCAATGCTAATGTGTTTGGTATTTTGTTGGTATCATGAACCCTTGCTAATGTTTAGGAGGCTAAGAAATCGGTAAAAAGTTGGTATTTTCCTCATGTTCCCAAGTTGGTTTGGTTTCGGTATTTCTCCACGGTTTTGGTTGGTATTTGGTTTGGTATCGGTATTCCGATTTTCCGTAATTGACATCACTAATCGGCACCATAGCACATGGTCGAGACTGTCGCCAGCCACGGACGCGCACTCGACCAACCCTCCGAGCCCGTTGACTGCGGGTGACCTTGACATGTCAAGCCTGATTGGCGGCCGGCCGCTGTCGTGCGGTCGTTACACGCGAGGGGAGGGAGACACAAAGCTCTACGTTATAGCTGACCTTTGACCTTTCCCTGCGCCCTGGTCACTGACCCCGCTCCATGTCGCTGGGCGGTAGCATGGCGGTGGAAACCGGTTCTAGCCTCTACACATGCCACCATTCTAACGCTCCCCTCCCCACGCTACTACGCGGCGTGGAGTACGCTCGTGCGTAACTGGGCGGAGCAAGGGGCACGCTATACAGGGGCGGAACTGGTTGCCCTCCCGCTCGCCGAGCGACCAACGACTAATACCCTGGAGAACCGTACCTAATAGCCGTTTTCACGACGGCCATCTGGTACACATTTGGTGCACCTGCACATCTGGTACAGATTAGGTGCAGATTTGGTCAAATCAGGCTCAGTGTGTCTCTTAGCAGCTATCAGCTAGGGTTGCACTAATTGCTTATATGCCTGCTTTGTCATATTATCAGAGAGCATCATCGATTAAAACACTGAAATAAATTCATAAAATGAAGATATTTGCTGTAAAAGAAATTAGGTGCAGATTTGGTCAAATCAGGTGCATTCGCCGGATAGCCCGTCGTGAAAACGGCTAATATGTTTACAGAAGTGTTTTTGGCAAAAAAGGTTCACGTTTAACCCGCGCCCCGTAGGGCTACCGGCGGACCCTACCACCCGTAGGGGGGGGGCCGTTTCGGCCCCCCCCCCTAAGATCTCGGAAAGTTACCGGCCGATTTTCAAAATTCAAACGGCGTTCGATAGCCCCACCCGGGAACTACCTTGTGACCAAATTTCATTGACCTAGGTCAAACCGATGACGTCACAGGTCAGGTCAAAGGTCAGATTTTCACCGTTCACAGGCAATTCAAGAAATGTGCTGTGAAAGCGAGTAAATTGATAATTTATTGAAAACCATCGATGGTACATTGTTCGTCAAACACATACTTTGCTATCTGAGGTCACTGATACCAGGTCAGGTCACAGCGAGGTCAGGTCACCGGGGGTCACAATATGAATGTGTCGTGTGATACCTGTTTTATGGTCCATTTTACATGACAAATGCGATTATGTGGGTTAGGCAGCCTTTGGGGCCAGCCTAGGTCACGTTTTGGTGAAGGTCAGGTCAAGATCAGGTCAAATTAGGTCAAATTTCAAAGTTGATATTTTTGCATAAAATGGGCATCGATTCGATTCAGCTCGTCACGGGGAGTCTAATGGTGGTCTTCGTTTTGCTCTACGAGTTCTAGAATTGCCAAAAATTGAGTTTGAAAATTTGACGTCATCATTTTTGAACAGTTTTTTCGCTATAACTTGGCCAAAAAACGAGGTATCGATCTGAAATTTGGTATGTAGATAGAAGACGGTAGGCACTATCACATATATTCCGGTTTTTTCGAAACTCAAAAAACTTTTTGGATTTTTTGGCGAATATATCCAAAAAAATGCTTTTTTGATTTTTAGGGGCCAAAACTCAAAAATTTCAAAAATTCGAGATAGCAGTTTTGTAGCCCTGTCAATTCTACACCTTTTATGTCTTGATCATTTTTCTGTATCTTCAAAGCTGTAGTCCTGACAGGTCTTCTCGCGAAGGTCTTTTTTCGGTCGAAAATGACAGAACATGACGTCACTCTGACGTCATTTGTGGCCAACGTATCATAGCCTCTGGAAAAATTTTTGGTCACAATGTGTAAAATTGATGTCCGGAGGGGTCCTGAAAGTTTGGTGGCGATATCTCCAGCCGTTTAGGAGATATCGACCGAAAAGGACAGGGAGGGGCCGTTTCGGCCCCCCCCCCTACGGGGCGCGGGTTAATCAAACGATTCAGTTAATTGAATAGATCGTATCGAATAGGGGAAGCGGGGGTAACACCGCCCCCCTAAGCTTTTCGCCAAAATGAGAGAATATGTGTGAAGTCTCTTGGTAGCTATTGTTTTGGTTACAATATTTTAACATTTTCTCACGTGTTTTAGGTACTTATTTTGCATGCTCCTAAAAGGTTTTCATGTATCACGACTTTTAAAAATACCTTGCATATTTGCTGCCTACAAATTGTGTGGGTAACCCCGCCACCGGTGTTGATGTTAACCCAACCCATTCCTACGAAAGCTTTTAATTGTTCAGAGATCGTGTGCGATGAGTTTCCTGTCGGTAAGTGGTAATTTTCGCAAATAATCGGTAATGGACACCTAAATAGGTATAGGTTCATCAGCTGTTTGCCAGTTTTATACAGCTGGCAAGTGCTTGGTCGGGATGCATGAAAAATATAAAGTAAAAAATCAACTAAGCTGCTTATTCCCGACTTAGGAACATCTACGAACATAAATAAAGCGTGTCTTTGGAGTTTCATCACTTATCACGCTACAAACAGGAAACACTGCAACCTCAATTGGGGTAACACCGCCACGGGGTGGCGGTGTTCCCCAATAAGTGATCACAAGCAAAAATCGCCAGCGGTAAGAATGTACTACACGGTTCAAGCAAACTTATCTTACTGGACAAAGCCGATCAGTTATTTTTCGATGTAATCAAGTAAATCAAAATGAGTCTCTACTTAAAGACATTCAAAAGTGCTCCCAACTCATCGAATTTTTATAAGAGAATGTGCATTTTTCTTTAAATGCCCACATTGAGCTTCGATTACACTGAAACACCGGAACACAAATCAGAAGACGCTTACCTTCGTGCGGTCAATAGGAAATAACGGATTTTTACACTTCACATTTCATACTTTCGCCGCCAGATGGGGTGGCGGTGTTTCCCACAGTGGCGGTGTTACCCCCGCTTCCCCTAATTTAGGAGTAATAACATTAAATTCTGACAGATTAGATGAGGAGCTATAATTCACACTGGTTAGTGGTTACCTAGCATAAAGCATGCGGCCGTAGACGTCCGTCGGAACATGACTGAGATTCACTAGCAGCGTTCTCTGTAGGTGTTCACCAACAACCGTCCATCATTGCGCAAGCGTTATCGCCTTTGCATTTGTCATTTATATTTGTCTAAGCTGCTCAAATCAGTTCTGTGACACTTCATAGGCACCTAACCACCCTTTGAAGCCGGGATCACCGTTCTCGCTCGATCGAAGCGCCGTCAGCCATAAATCCACAACCGCCGGTTCGCGTCTGTTGTGACAGACCCAGCTGGTCATCTAGGGACCTCAAAGCTGACTCGGCGATAATGACAGGCCACGGGAGTGTGAGCAAACGGAGCCATTGATCCGTCGACCGCCGACGCCACAGTGACGCCGCGTAACTCGCCTGGCGCCGGAGGATCGCCCGCACACCTCCGCAGGCGGCGGATGCGGCACCGCCGGCCCGCGACGCGCGGAGAGATGGAGCGGCGTCTCTGGCGAGTCTCTGTCCTCCTCTCGGCGTCTCTCTGCCTGGCGGCGGCGCAGGTCCAGACGGTGCTCTACCGCCGCGTCGCGGCCGGTGTGCCCTCCCTGACGCCTCAGGCGGCGGTGTCGGCTCCGTCCCAGTTCCTCTGCGCGGTCTGGTGCGGCGCGGCCGGTCCTCTCGGGGGCTGTGATGGTCTGACGTACCACCCGAGCGGCTCGTGTCGGCTGTTCTCGGGAGCTGCAGACGCTGACCTGGTGACCGCTCAGGACGCCGAGGTCAGGACGTTTGTACGGATACGGCCCGCAACAGGTGAGCGGTGGTCATTTCATTTGTAATTTTCTTCCACGTTATGAGTGCGATAAGAGAAGATTATCGTAATAATGCAAATAGGGGAATTGGTTTACTCCGCACCCTGCTTTGCTCATTGGGAGCCATTACGATGTTAAATGTCAACGTACTCATAGAACACATCAGTGACCGGAGAAAGAGCCACTATAAGTGATTAAGGAGGACCTTTCGCCTCTTAGGAAACCGTTTAAACGTCCCGTTGGGATTTAACCTTACACCATGAAGCTTTCGCAAAATAAAAATGTATTGGCCACGGAAGAGATAAGGTATTACAAATTACGCAAGCTAAGTCCTTTTATAAGGTTATACATACGAGTATTATTCGTTATACGAACTATGGCAACGACTAAAACGCTCGTTATTTACGAAGCTGGTAGCTCAATTAAGGGCGAGACAGCTGTGGTGGTGTCCTTTCTTCGACCGTTTGTACCTACCTACAAAGAAAAACCGATAGGTCTAGCAAAGGGCTAGTTATAGGAAGGCAAGCTGTTTTAGCTGCGCTTTCGCCTCTTAAAACATTTATCTCTATCGTGAACCTACTTGCATTGTCTGCAGGAGGAAATTACGCTTCATATTATTTGGTGCTTGAAAGCAATTTATGACCACTTTCGTCCCTCGACTAATAACATGTTTTGCGAAGATGCTACCCTGTACTTGCCAAGGCATCGTAAATTTAGCTTCGGTCTTCACTTCACAAGTGATTATATCCGGTGGTCTGGAGCACCGTCCACTTTGATACCTGATTGTTCCTCATTAAAAACACGTCAAAGGCATACTCTGCAACGGTGTTCCCTTTATTACAGGCACACTGTCTACTGTGTCTGGAAATGGCTCTACTCTTGTCTTCACCACGGTCAGTTCTGGAACATCTACAGAAACTATCGGAACAGCCACCGCGGCTCAAACGCCCATTTCAACCACAACGGCATCAACGGCAGTCACGGAGCCTCAGCCGGTCACCGACGCAACGACCGCCATCTCAACGACCGTCGTCGCTGCCACCAGTACAACAATACCAACAACAACAACAGTAGCGGCAACAACGGCCATCTCCACCACCGCCGCCGTACCGCCGACCCCGCCCGCTGGTTTCACCGAGTGTGCCGGGATCTTCCTCCGCCTGCTCACCCGTCCCTCCACCTACTCCAGAGCGGAGACTTCGTGCGCTGACCAGGGCTCCTTTCTGGTGGTTCCCCGCACGGCTGAGCAGAACCAGTGCGCCCTGGATCTGGCCGCGGGGACTAACGCCTGGATCGGGGTCACCGACAGGGTCACAGAGGGGGAGTTTGTGGCGGCCGACGGCCTGGGGCCGCTGGAGACCACCTTCTGGGACTACTACAGTCCGAATAATAACGGCGGAGTACAGCACTGCGGCGAGCTCTACTTTGACTACACCCGACAGTACCCCGATCCCGGCTGGAACGACGTAAGGTGTGATGTTAACCGTAATTTTATTTGCCAGTGGAGACCGTAATTCTAACGTTCGAAAACATGATCGATTGAATTTTGTTCATCCCGGAATATGTTTAGAGTCGTTAACCAACATATTTACAGACATGATAACTAGTGCCGGCCTTCAGATGTGAATTGATCGTGCGAGTGCGACATAGATAATGCGATGTAGGTACATAATGCAAATATCACCATTGAGTTGTTAGGGTAAGGGCGGGTAAGAGTACGCGGGCGATAAGAGTACGCATCAGCTGTTTCGGTTGCTTAGCAACGCGGGCTTGTCGAGTTCATAAAGTTACATGAAGCCGCCAGTGCGTGCTTGTCACCAACGGAACGTGGGCGTTGAGCGGCGACGCTGTTGAGTTTAAGGCGATGAATATTATTTTCGAGCGTTATGATATTATTATGGTATGGTACAATAATTTTGATACTTGGCAGTTGAGATAAGGTACATTTTCGTGATTGTTGTGGGAAACTTGTGAGGTTATCTGGGGAAATACTGTGCAGTGCAATATTATGTTTCCGAAGTTTCGCACAACGTTTCGGGGTTGTTTTGTGCGCGAATTGCATGTACGGTAAGAGGACGCACTGTTCAGGAGGGTAAGAGTACGCAGAATTATACATTAAATCGAATATACAGAAATATAAAATTATTTATATATCGCTCAATGACGTTTGTTTTGTAGGTATATCATCAATGGAGCACTGTGATGCAGATGCGTACCCGAAATTCTTCCAAATAAGAGTTATTCTCCCTTTTGATTGTGCATTTTTTTAAAGAAATACACGACATGATTATTTCCTGATTTATAGACTTGAAATATTTATTTTAAGTTTTTCTTTTTGGATACTAGAATTAACTTAAATGCCTTCTGAGTTTGAGGTTAAGCATTTGGACAGTACAAGCTGCATAGGTGTGTGTCCATATGCTTGCGTACTCCACCCGCCTGGCGTGCGTACTCTTACACACCCCATATGGTAAGAGTACGCAACTGCAGCGGTTCAGAAAATGTCAGTTGATGTCGTCTATGTCATTCGAGGTCATTTTGAGTCGAATTTAGCTTAGGTCAGGTCACTTTCAGGTCAAAAAAGGTCAAATTTTGAAGTTGAAATTTTTCAACAAACAAGGTGTCTATTAGATGCAGTTTGAGCTCAGGAACACGATGGTGCCATTTATATTGGTATACGATACCAAATACGTACTGAAAAATTGATTTGAAAAATTAATAATTGTGAATTTTTTGCAATAATGCGTATAACTTGGCCATTTTTGAAGATATTTAGCTAAAACTTGCTAGAGTTGGTCATAATCATGCGTTCTGTCACATATATTCCGGTGTTTTCGAAAAGTCAAAAACTTTTTGAAAAAAAAATATAAAAATATAAATTTTGAATATATTATATAAAATTTTCGAAATTTTCAAAATTTTGAAAATCCGAGATAACAGTTTGATAGCGCGGTCAATTCTGAGTTCTTTCATGCAAAGAAATTCGATCTAGCTTAAAAACTGAGCTCTTGGGAGCGATTGCCGTGGTTCAATGTTTTGCGTCGAAATCGGACGAACATGACGTCACTCTGACGTCATTTCCGGCCGACCTATGGTAGCTACGAAGTTCAAATTTTGACACAAGGTGTCAAATTGATGCAGCCGAAGGTACTGAAAGTTTGGCGTCGATCCGTCAAGTGGTTTGGAAGTTATTGCAGAAAAACGGGAGGGGGGGCTATAAATAGCCCCCCCCCCCCAGTGGGGCGCGGGTTAAACGACCTTTAGTTCTTAGGCCGTCTCTAATAAGCAACAAATGGAAAGTTCACTATGGCTCGCTGACTCTAATACCCACGTTCGACTCTAATGCACATTGCTAACTGCAACGCTGCAAGGAATGACAGACAATGTCCATTACACCTCAAAGCATATCTCAAACAGCATTACGCTCCTTATTTCGTTCAATGTCGTCAATGCACATTGTGCATGTCCAGCTCAAGGTATATAATATAAGCAGCTGCTTTTTGACCGCAGGCCAGGCTAATGGGCGATTCGTTCAACAGCCGGTTAAGCAGTTCACTACGAGTACACAGATGTGTTATGTCAGTCTCTTTAGCTGTCCTCATACGTCAGCTCGGTTCTAATTTATCCAGTCTGTGCGGGTTGAGGGGTGTCATTTGGAGTTAATTACAATGGGGCAGGGCGAAGGCAAAGCAACCTCAATATGAATGTGGTAAATGGTTCTTGGTAGTATACCTAAGGGTCTAAAGGAATTCGTGCCTCGAAATATGAAATAGTGTAGTGTAATTTTATTGTTAACTTCTTGAGATTTGCACTATAGGGGAGAGTGGGGTGGGTTGTATCAGTTTTTACTCCGAGACCCATAACCTCGTAACTATCCGTGATAAACTCATTATTTCCATACTATCTCCTTCCTTGATTCTTCTGCTTTTTTGTGCAAAGTAACTTCTCCGCTACCTCTACCAGTTTTTCTTCTACGGTCTCCCGAATAGAACAATGTTTTTGATACCTACAACTTGCCCCATGGCTTGGGTGAGTTGTATCACATGGTGGGGTAATTTGTATCACTATCTCACGTTTCAGGGAGTGTGCTTGCTACTGGTTTTGAACATAACAACAACATTAAATGTGGTTAATACAATGTATAGGTATGCTCAAAGGCTTCACTTTATTGGACCAAACTTAGGTCAATGCAATCCGAACGAAACATCAACAGACTAGACGCAAAAGTGGCCCGTTAAGAGCAAAGAAGCCAACACATTGTGCCGAAATGGAACGAGCATTGACTAGTTACCTATAAACGCGAGCCAGGGCTTAGCTTTCGCGATCAAAAGCAACATACCCATACATACATACATACATACATACATGTTACAACATACCCCACCCGGCTCTGATACAACATGTACCTAGCCGCCATCTTGGAAAAAACATCCTCGTGCTCAAAAAACAGCGGACAGCTGGAGAAATCCGTTTTCACTCACGCAGCCTTAGAACCTACCCTCACCACCGCCACGGAGATCTTTCAAATTCGTGCACATCTAAATGCCCAGAACACACATTTTCTTGCAACTTATTTTTTTAGAATGACATTAAAAAAACATTAAATCGGCTCTCACCTCGAGACGCGTCCACTCAGCCACAAGACAGAACAGGGAAAGATGGCGCCCGGAAAACCTCATCGGTTGGTCGTGTCGCGAGCGCCATCCATTGGATAAGTTTGGCACAATTCGCCCTGATACAACTTGGACATGATACAACTCTCCCCGCTCTCCCCTACCCACATTTTTAATTAATATTTCTTACCTTCACTTTTACATGATGGAGGCTACATGAATGAGTATGAAAGTACAACGTTTAAAGCGCGCATACCCACGCGATATCTGTACCGTGCTGACTGCTGACGACCCGTGACAGGGCGATGGATAGGCAAATTGACAATGTTCCCATTCCTCGTAACACTTTGTCGTAACACAAATTTAATCTCAGATGAACAGTTTTCTTTTAATGAAGTAAAGGAAAGTGACCTTTTTGACGTATTTCCTGCATTAACTATGAATAGGTATTTGTGATGTGAAATTTTTTAATATTGCGCATCACAAAGTTGTTCTACGTTTGCATCCGCTTGCATCCACTTTGCTGGTCGGAAGAAACATCGAATGATAGGGTACCCGACAGTGATGCCATCCACATTTTTGCTCCATCCCAAGATCTCGACCAGAATTTCCCAAGATTCTCGTCTCAAATCCCAAGACTACCCATCGAATATCCTTAGGAGTACCCCAAGTAAATCCATAGCTTATTTTGGACATATTAGTGTGTTTAGTATTCAACTTTCTCTTCTTCGGGTCCACCCTTGTCCTTATTGGCGTATTTACAGCAGCTAATGTACCTAGAGGCCGGGGGGAGGGGAGGGGGTCGATCGGACTCCTACAGCTGATCGGTTCCTGACCGAGTATAAGAGCTTCACGAAAAATGAAGATGCTGGCCTAGACAACATGAAGCCGGTGGTATCTGATATTATGGTCAGGTCATTCGTCGACCGTCAATGGTGGGTCAAGGACTTAAAACACATAGTCCGAATCTGTTAGAACTTCTTGGAAACGAAGTCTGTGGCATTTTGGATTTATTTCAAAATTTGTCTCGTGACACATTTGGAGAAGCTAGGGTCAGGTGAGGTCAGGCTGATTTTAAGTGTTTTCCACCACTGAGTTTTGAAATATGGGCTCCAAAACAAGCTCTTAAAAGCTTATGTGAATCCTGAAATCGAAAAGCCTATGCTGTGAATCTGCGCGTAAGCCAGTGCCCGCTGGGGCCCATGAATTTTCAAGCCGGCGATGGCGAGGGGGTCTAAACGAGGACCTAACTCGTCCCCTGGACTATATAGTTACAAGACGTCAGCAGTGTTGTGAAGGTCGCAATGTTACGCTTTGATTATTTTTGGTCCAGCAGAGCCCAGAGGTCAGGTGACCAGACACTTTTCCGAGGTCAAAGACAAATTGCCCTTATTTTGGTTCGCGGTCAACGGATAAGCCTCCATAGAGCAAAACCGTAAAATGAAACGCTTTGTGCGGGAGCCGCTTTCTGAAATGTTTTTTAGGCATAATGTTTGTAAAAGCTTTTCATAGCCACCCAACATCATGGACGCCGGTGAAACAGGGCGTCGGAGGGCATATTAGTCACGTGACATTTGTAGCTTCTCCCCCTTCGTGTGCCTTCTACAATCTACATGCTAAACGTCACGTGTAAATTTCACGAACCTTGATCAAATCGCCCCAGGCGCCCTGTTTTCACCGTCGTCCATCATGCCGCCAAACCACCCATCCCCGTTGATCGGTAGTTGGAAATTAAACAAATGAGCGCCAGTTGCGAACAGCGACTGAAAGCTGCTACTATACCCATAACAAGTAATGGTACAAAAATAATCCTGCGATCTCGGGAAGATAATGCCGGCTAGAAACATCGCAAGCTTCGTCCGTTACTTCAATATGTTTGATTAACCGTCCGTAGTGCAAATCCATCCTAAATCTATTATCGACCAAGGAAAAAGCATTCGACAGCATGAGAAGACAAAGTGAAATCAGCTTCTGCCAGATCCCAAGATATGCAGTGCAAATCACAAGATCCCAATGTTAATGTTCAAATCCCAAGATCTTGGGACAAATCCCAAGGAATGGCATCGCTGGTACCCGAACAAGCCAGCTTCAAGACTTGTTATCGGTTCAATGTCATGACTTGACCAAAAAAATCCTTTTGCATATTGATCGTCCTTTATAGTTGAAAATGGCCTTATCTTATGTAACATAGTTCTACCCGCGAAAAAAGAAACTTTTGGGCGCGGAGAGCGTAAAACGTGCCGTCCTTCCACGGCGCGGTCGAAGTAAATCAGATCAACACGACTGCAACGTTACCATCTGAGCCATCCGAGGTCGTCGAGACAACGGCCAACAAATTAATATCTTCGGAAGCGGATTAATAAAACTTGCTTACAACTTACTCGGTGCGCACTGCGCAGTCACACCGCATGGGTTCCAGACACGAACGTTGGCAGTTGGCACGGGCGCTTTATCATCCCAATTCATAGGTGGACTTTCCGCGCGTAGCCACATAGTTTCGGCCGGGGTCAGAGCGCGTGTTCGTATCACGACCCCGCTGAGT